GGGAGGGAGGGAGGGAGGGAGGGAGGGAGGGAGGGAGAGAGGGAGAAGAGAGAGACAGAGAGAGAGAGAGAGAGAGAGAGAGAGAGAGAGAGAGAGAGACAGAGACAGAGAGACAGAGAGACAGAGAAAGAGAGAATGAGAACTGACTCCCAAAAGTTGTCCTCTGGCTGCCACGTGTGTGCTCTAGCACTAGAGTTCCTGCCTGCCCCAGCCCTCCCTTATATTAACAGGATAAAAGAAAGGATGAGAACAGTGCTTTATCAAATCAAGAAAGAAAATTACACAAGAAAGAACTAGGAGTGTGGGGTAGGGGGAGGAGGGATGTCTCAGCTAGTACAGTGCTTGCTCTGTAAACATGAGGACCTGGGTTTGGTACCCTGGTACCCATGTAAAACTTAGGCATGGCATTGCTGTGTGAGCTTGTAACCCCATCACTGGAGGGGACTAGAGATAATGGGATCCCTAGGATTCTGAACCCATACAGTCTAGCAGGAATGGCAAGCTCAAGTGAGAGACCTTGTCTAACAAATTAAAATGGAGCTGCACAGAGTTCAGGAAACACTAAGGAAAATGGGATGAAAAATCTAAGACCCTGAGGGTGGGGAGGACATGGTGTGAGCTGCTGCATCCATCAACTCCCAATAGCTATGGTTACCTGCACAGGATGAAACCAGTAAACAGCTCCACTATGGACAGGAGAGGACTATGAAACTTCACCCCAGCTAAGAAGTTCTTGGCAACTGAGGATGCATTATTTCTCTTTGGGGATGCAGGTAGTAGGTTGCCTATGTTCATATAGGCAGGGCTAATTTGACTCAGTGAATTATATATATTTAAAAGAAGAACATGAAAGTAGGAAGGAGGAGTCGGATGATTGAGGCTGGGTATGATCAAGATACATTAAGTATGTATATAAGTAGGAAATTATCAAATAAATTTTAAAAAATCTGCCCATGGTAGTGAATAGTTTCATCACAGTACTGGGGATGCAGAGGCAGGTGGATCTTTGGAGTTTTTGGCCAGCCTGGTCTACAGACTATGTTCTAGGATGCATAGTGAAACCCTGTCTCAAAAGAAAAAGGAAGAAGAGGAAGAAGAAGAAAGGGGGGGAAGGGAAGGGAGGGGAGATGAAGGGAGGGGAGAGAAAAGGAGAGGGGACGGGAGGGGAGAGGAGAAGAGGAGAGGAGAGAGGAGAGGAGAGAAAGGAAGGAAGGAATCAAGGTAACCAGGCTGATGAGACGGCTCAATGGGTAAGGCACTTGGTACCAGCTCTGATGATTGGAGTCAGATCCCCAGAACCCACACGGTGGAAGGAGAGAACCAGTTCTCAAAAGTTGTCCTTTGACTTCTGGACAGACACTGTGGCTCATTTGTACCCACATACATATACACACTAAATACATTAGTAAATGTAAATAAAACATTTTTCTTGGGGCAGGTGTTGAGACGGAATCTTTCTATCTTTGGTTGTCCTGGAGCTCTATGTAGATCAGGCTGGCCTTGAACTCAGGGATCTGCCTGCCTCTGCCTCCCAAGTGCTGGGATTAAAGGTGTGTGCTAGCATACCCAGCGAATAAAGCATGCTTTAAAATGAGGTGGCTAGTAATTGAGGAAGACACCAAAGTTAACCTCTGGACTAAATAAAAGACAAAAATCCATTTAAAAAATATCCCTAGGACTGAGGTCCTTTGTATGGAAGACCCAAACATTTGAGAAATGCTGTTTTACAATTGAGTAGAGAAGGAATCAATGAAGGAGACTCTAATGTAGAAGCCAGAAAAGTCAAAGGAAAATTTAAATTTAGAATAAGAAAGAAAAAGAAGTGAGAAATTACTTTAAGAAAGGATTAAAATAATCAATGCTGGAAAACAGCTCAAGGTCTTGTAGGAGAAGACTGAAAATTTCCAGTGAATTCTGTGGTGTGGAGTGAAGTGAAGCTGAAGGATGGAGGATAGATGAAAAAGTTAAATGGTATTGGGAAAATGTAAAAAGCAGCTAGGTATGGTGGCAAATACCCAGAATCCTTCCCAGTACTTGGGAGGATGAGGTAGAAGAATTTTGAGTTCAAGACCAACCTGGTCTGAACAGTGAGATCCCATTTTAAAAAACAAAACTGGCTAGTCGGGCTGGAGAGATGGCTCAGTGGTTAAGAGCACTGACTGCACTTCCAGAGGTCCTGAGTTCAAATCCCAGCAACCACATGGTGGCTCACAACCATCTGTAATGAGATCTGATGCCCTCTTCTGGTGTGTCTGAAGACAGCTACAATGTATTCATATATAATAAATAGATAAATCTTTAAAAAAAAACAAAAAAAAAACTGGCTAGTCATGATGGAGCCCACCTTTAATCCTAGCACCAGGAAGGCAGAGACAGGTGGATCTCTGTGAGTTTGAGGCTAGTCTGGACTACAAAGCAAGTTCCAGGATAGCCGGGGCTATTACAGAGAACCTTGTCTTGAAAATTCAACACCCCATCCTAAAACAACCAATAGAAAACAAATAAAAAACAAAGCTGGTAGGGCATGTAATACCATTTAACTTAAGAAAACAAAAAGGAGTATTATCTAAGAGCTGCCTATGTTTTGCTTCTTGTCGTAACAGTCAATGATTAATTGAGCTTGCTTTTTTGAGGCAGGGTCTCAAGTAGCCCAAGATGTAGTCAAAGATGACCCTGAACTCCTGATCCTCCAGCCTCAGTCTCTCCAGTGCTGTAATTATAGGTTTGTGCCACCATGTGCAGTTTAAGACATGCTGGGGATCAAGTCAGGGCTTCATGTAACCTATGCACTCTACCAGCTGGGCCACATGCCCTAAACCTGGCAAAGAGTCTTAAAAGTAGCAAGAGAGAAGCCACTCACCAAGTAATACTCAGCAAGATTAACAGTGACATCATGTCATTAACATTAACAGACATACCAGAGACAAGAGAACACTCAAAGTTCCCAAAGATTATCAACCAGAAACTTATATCCAATAATACTATCTTTCAAAACTGAAGGAGGAGTTAAAAATATTCCTATATAAACAAAAATTTAGACAGTGAACTTATCACTCTCAAACTTGCCTTATAAGAAATACTAAATGGAGTCTTTCAGGCTGAAATGAAAGAACACTAATTAGTAACTCAAATTCGGAAAAGGTAATTATTTAAGTAAATACAACAAAAGACAGTTTAAGTGCATTTTTCTTGGTAGCCTCCCCTCAAAGGATTTAAAAGACAATTGTGTTTGGCAGTAATTTAAAATTTGTGTTACTGAGTATATAATCTAACAGAACTATGAAGTTTTGGTAAGTATTGATGTTAAATGTGGTACTAACTTAAACCAGGTTTTTATAAATTATGTTAGTTGTAATCTGAAAACAGTTTTGAATATTGTAAAGGAAATAATAAAGAGATCTAAAGTGCTGCACTAGAAAACAATCAAGTTAACACAAAGAAAGGCAGTAATAAAGGAATTAATGACAAAAGGATAACATTTATAAAAGAAATAGAAAAATGGCAGTTCTTTCTTATCAGCAATTATAAATGTATTCAAGTTTCCAATTAAAAGACAGAAAATCAGGATCAATGCTGCTTAAGCCTGGAGACCTGAATTCAACCCCCTAGAAACCACCTAAGGTGGAAGGAGAGAACTAACTCCACAAAGTTGTCCTCTTATGTCCACATGGATGTCATGGTTTGGTATGCATTCATGTGTACACATACTAAATTAAAAGAAAAAATTACATAGAATCAAAACAGGCTGAGAACAGGGCACAGTGGTAGATATTTGTCTAGTATATATTTGATCTCCAGCACTGATTGAAAAGAAGAAAAAATGAAGGAAAGCAGAAAGCAAACAAGGAAAGAAAGAAGGGAGGAGCCGGGCAGTGGTGGCGCACGCCTTTAATCCCAGCACTTGGGAGGCAGAGGCAGGCGGATTTCTGAGTTCAAGGCCAGCCTGGTCTACAGAGTGAGTTCCAGGACAGCCAGGGCTATACAGAGAAACCCTGTCTCGAAAAACCAAAAAAAAAAAAAAAAAGAAAGAAGGGAGGAAAAAAAGAAGAAAAAGATTGTGTATGTGTCTCAATGGGAGTATGCTTGAGTCTCCAGATTCAATCCCCAGCTCATCACACACAGGACCTTCCATGAAGAAAGCCAACAAGAAAACCCGACTGGCTGTACTAATGTAACAGACAAAACAAGACTTTAAAAAACACTGTTACTACAAACAAAGCCCATGTTTTACCTTTAAAGTAGAGTGAGAAAATAAACACCTTTCAGGTTACAAACTGTTATTTTATGTGCTGGTGAGATGGCTGAGCAGATAAAGAATTTCCTCAAAGCTAATGACCTGAGTTTGCTCTCTGGAACTCACCAAAACTTGGACGGAGAGAACTGACTCTACACAGTTTCTCCTGACTGTCACATGTGTCTCATGGTTCAGGAAAGTAGAAATAAATTGCCATGTTTATTTTTTATTTTATTTTATTTTTTGGTTTTTCAAGACAGGGTTTCTCTGTGTAGCCCTGGCTGTCCTGGAACTCACTCTGTAGACCAGGCTGGCCTCGAACTCAGAAATCTGCCTGCCTTTGTCTCCCAAGTGCTGGGATTAAAGGCGTGTGACACCACTACCTGGCATAAATTGCCATCATTACAAAAGAAATTCAGTTAAACTTTCCTTTTAGACTTAATTTCTACTGCCATCTTGTGGCAATTTTGAAAATTCAAATGACTTAAGTTATTCTGATGAGTTTTTTTTTTTTTTAAAGTAGAGGTAGAATGAGAGACAGAGAGAGGGAAAGGGAGAGGGAGAGGGGGAGGGGGAGAGGGAGGGAGGGAAAAAAGAAGGGAGGGAGGCAGAGAGAGAGAGAGAGAGAGAGAGAGAGAGAGAGAGAGAGAGAGAGACTGACTGAGACTCTGACTGTTGTGTCATGGTATACATGTAAAGATCAGAAAACTACTTTAGTTGGTTCTCATCTTCCATCTTTTTAAAAATGATTTATTTCATAGGCCCTGGTATTTTTGCTTGCATGTATGTCTGTGTGAGGATGTTGGTTCCCCTGGAGCAGGAGTTACAGACAGTTGTGAGCTGCCATGTGGGTGCTAGGAATTGAACCCGGGTTCTCTGGAAGAACCAGTGCTCTTAGCCATCTTTCCATCATTTTTTTCAGGAAAAAAGTAAAACAGCATTATATTATGCATAGAACACTAGGAATTTCTGGTATCTTAACAGAAAATAGAGACTTCAACCCTCTCTCACCAGTGTAAGAGTCTCTGGGAGTGCTCCTTTCATGCAGGCTTCTGCTTCCCTGACAAAAAAGAATGACCATTAATTACTCCATCCTGGTTCTCTACATTCTAGACTCCCCATTGTTTCTCAGTAACAATTCATTCACACATATATTATTCTCCCACTGTAGCAGGATATTTATTCTGCAACATTGTATTCACAGTAGAGCTTGGTGATTAGGCAGTAAAAGAGGAGGTGGAACTGGGAGAAGAAAAGAAGAAGGGGAGGGGAGAAATAGAGGAAGGGGTGGGGAGAAGGAGGCTATCAGTCATGGTGAACTACGGATGGGAGGATGGGTGGAAAGCTGTCCTGGGTAGCAACTTCTATCAAAAGGTTAGATAGTGGGTAACAACTCTAATTGTGTAGGCATCTTGTTGATTGAGCATTTCTAAATATATAAATCCTTTAGATAATCATTAAGCTTTAAGAGTCTCATTTCTACTGGGTACTATGAGGATGGCAGATACTGTCTGGGGTTCAGCTAAGCTTTGTGGATGCAGCATAGTGGACTGGCAGAGCCATCCCCCATGCTGGTGTCTCATGGGTGCCAGGACCTGCACATCTAGCTAGCTGGAGCCTGGGTCAGAGCCAAGGAACAGTGGGAACATGGTGGCTGCTGGGGAACTGGTGGTTGCTGGGGAACAAGCCAGACTGGGCTCCGTTTTCTAAATATTACCCCTACATCCCACATTGTATAAAATGGTCTTAAGAGGGACCTATGCTCTTTTACTTCAAAATGCCCGTGGCAGATTCTGTGCATTCAGTTCTTGAACACTTACACTACAGTCACCCCTGTTGAGTCTGTGTCATTTTCTAATATTGAGTATCCAAAATAGGCTCCATATGGCATGAAAAGATTTGTGCTGAAACCAATAGTCTTGTTTTTCTAAGCATTTGAAACCTCAATATATAAAAAATAATATGATCATTACTTACCTGTTCCACATGACCGATGCCAGCCACTGTGTAAGGGATGGACTCCATAGAAGAAGAGCGACTAACAAAATGAGATAAAACAAAAATGCAAACAAGACAAAAACAAACACAAAAACTGATGTTACATTTGACTTGGCAGTAATTCTCTTCAGTTCCACTTTGAGCCACCTCATTCATCTTCCAACTTTGTCACCAGTTACAATGTTCAATAATAGGCTTTCTACTCACCTGACTACTTGGCTGCTATGCTGGGAACTGGGTCGTGGAGCAACTGAAAGAGCACCAAGTGTAGGGAAAACTGCCATTAGTGGGACACTATCTTTATCTGGCTTATCTGGCTAGTTCGCTTTAAGTGGTTATCTGGCTATATCATGTTTCACACATTATATGTAAGATTAGCAAAATCATGTTATGGTCTCTGAGGAAAAAAACAACTTCCATATGAGGAAAAGATATTTATCTCACACAGGGATCTGGAAAGGATTAGTTTTTGTTTTTCACCTGACTGTGATGGAGAAGTAATACCCACTGGTCGAGGTGTGGTTAACCTACAAGAAACCAAAAAGAAGGCAGCTTCGATCTCATGGAGCAGAATTAGAGGTCACATTAGTCAACCAACCATTGATTATAAAGACAGTAGCTTTGAGGCTGGAGGAATGGGTCAGTGGTTAAGAGCAGGGACTGCTCTTGCAGAGAAAGGACAGCCTCTAAGCATAGAGCACTTACTCCACAGGAGTAAAGGCATCATCACAGCATACAGAAGCCAAGTTTCCTTGTGAGGTCCCTTTACTCTCCATTTCCCCAGTGGAACCTTCCTCTACTCACTCATGGAATAATTCTGCAGTTTTTTTTCTTTCTTCCTTATAGCATCTTACCAAATATTCTCAACTTTACATCTACTGATTCATTCATTCATCCATCCATCCATCCATCCATCATCCATCCATCCATCCATCATCCATCCATCCAGCTAGCCATTCAACAAACATATCTATGTTCTATGCCTTGAGATTAAAACAATTAGCTATGAGAGAGTCATAGGCTACTAAGAGAGAAGGTAAGCCTCAGGCCTGGATAGAACACAGTAGTAGAGTGCTTCTTTAGCAAGGCCTGATATTTGACATGCCAGGACCACAAAGGAAAAAAACAAACAAACCCAAGCACAATAATGTTTATATATTATAATGGACATATAAAAATACAAAAATTTGAAATATTAGATGGTAACCTCTGTGACTTCAGGAGTGCTATGTCTTTTGAATACATTCACCATTAAAAATATTTAGTAGTTGGTAAAGCACAGACATTAATCAAAATGTCTGCTGTTGTTGTGCTTAATATATAAACAGTATTGCTGAATGAATATTTATTGAATGAACAAATTCCAACTCGATTTGATGCAGTCATTATGGAGGAAGTGATACATGTTGGATCTTGAAGGATTAGTAGGAATTTATAAGACAGAAATCAAGTGTGAGCATTACAATCAAGATTTCATTTCAGAGCTGAGCATGGTGGCATATGTAATCTTAGCTACTCAGTGAGTCAAGATCACTAGTTCAAAACCAGCCTAGGTAACTTAGTGAAGCTGTCTCAAAATGATTAGTAAAAAGAGAACTGGAAGGGTGGAGTGAGGGGCCATGGTACCTTTAATCCCAGGACTCAGAAAGCAGAGGCAGTCAGATCTCCGTGAGCTCCAGGCTGGATAGGGCTACATAGTGAGAGTCCCCTCTCCATAAAGGGGGGGGGGAGGTCTTGAAAGCACTAGCTCAGTGGCAAAGTACTTGCAAGACCCTACCCCCCCAGTACCAAATAAATAAATAAATAAATAAATAAATAAAACAAAAATATTTCACTTCTGTCAGAGACTCAGGAAAGTAAAGATAAGTTGGTCAACCATTTTATCCTTCATGGAGCCACACAATTAGGGGTCAAGAAAAACTTCCTGACATAAGAAAATGGTTAAGGATTAAGAAGAGGGAAATGCTAGGTACCATGAATTGTTCATTACGCTGTACACATGTAGCATATTATCATATATTTAAGTACAACTGTAAAACTGAACATGCTTTAAAGAACAAATCAGAAAATTTCAAGTAGAGGGCTAGTGTGGTAGAACAGACCTGCTTCCGTAGTAGCAGCGTGGCGATCCCTGTAGGTGGGAAATGGAAGTGAGGGAAGCTATAATTAAAGGTTCTAATTAATGGATTTTAGACTGATTTGTTAGATAATTTACCTGAATACTTCCCTAGCTAAGGCTCCCAACAGAAGGACAAAAGACTGTGTTTCATTAGAAAAGTATTAGCTTTGAGAGAATAAAAATTTAGTTTCTTTTCATAAAAGCATACTGGGGAGCTAGGCAGGCAGCACATACATGTAATCTCAGTACTAAGAAAGGGAGGCAAAAGACTCAGGAGTCCCCAGCTAGCCATTTTCAGTAAGAGGGATCAGTTGGTAAAAATGCCTGCTAAACCTGACTGCATTTGATTCCTCATTCCCATTGTGGAAAGAGAAAACTGCTTTCTTAAAGGTACCTTCTGACTGATACCTGTCCTCATGCACACATCACATATCACACACACACACACACACACACACTAATAATATTAAATAAACCTTTAAAAAAGAGTTCAAGGGGCTGGAGAGATGGCTCAGCAGTTAAGAGCACTGACTGCTCTTCCAGAGGTCCTGAGTTCAAATCCCAGCAACCACATGGTGGCTCACAACCATCCGTAATGAGATTGAATGCCCTCTTCTGGTGTGTCTGAAGACAGCTACAGTGTACTCATAAATAAAATAAATAAATTTAAAAAAAAAAAAAAAGAGTTCAAAGCTGAGGGTATAGACTCAATCTCAAACAAACAAACAAACAAACAAATAAACAAACAGGGAAAGGATCCTGAGGCATTTTGGACTTCTTCAAGAGAAATATTAAGTTGAAACACATTTCTTAATGTGGGATTCTCATCAGTTATAGCACAATCCACTGACATTTCAGAATGGTCAAAAATGTGCTAACTATTGATGCTTTCAGCCCTCCAAAGTCTTCTGTACTCTTATTGACTACAGTGTGCTTACAGAAGGAATATGAGTTTTCTGGGAAGCACTGTTCTATATAGCCATCTAGAAAGATGGACAAGGTAGGAAGTATAATAAGAGTCTTCTTCAGCTTTTCATGGTGGCATGGGTGGCAGTCTCAGATCACAGGAGATTGAGACAGAAGGATTCTGAGTTTGAAGCCAGCCTGGACTCCACAGTAAGAACCCTGGGGATGTAGCTCAGTAACTGAGTGTTTATCTCGCACATGAAAGACCCTGAATTTGATTTCTAGAAACCCAAAACAAAACATGTAAAAAATAATATCTATTTCATTCACCTTTAGGATGGCTAGAATTTTCTTCAGTTCTCCATTCTCCTTTCTTAAGATTGATAGCTCTCTAGGCAAAAGATGGAAACAATCAGGTCCAGGTCACTACGATAAAAATTATTACTATTATCAACATCTTAGTTAATGCTTACTGAGAAGGGTCTGCAGATATGCAAGGTACTTTCATCAAGGATCTGGTAATTCATGGAGAAAATGGCAGGGTGTTGATGGTAAAAACAAATGAACAAAATAAGCAGTTATTTGGTATGACTTCAAGGGGTTTTTGCATAGAATTCCATTTCTTCTTCATACACAATCTTGGACTATTGATGTTTAAAAGTTTCCAACAACTGGGCCCTTGAGAAAGCTTGGTGGAGAAAGGGATTGTATCAGATCTGATGACTTGAGTTCAATTCCCTGAACCCACATAGTGAAAGGAGAAAACCAACTTTCCAAGTTGTCTTGTGACCTGGCATGCATGTAGAGATCAAAGGACAACACATATCCATAAATAAACATTAAATAAACAATTTAAGTTTCTAACAAGGATTCTAGTTTTTTTCATTAGCATTTTATTTTATGTACATTGGTGTTCTGCCTGCACGTATGTCTATGTAAGGGTGCCAGATCCCCTGGACCTGGAGTCACAGGCAGTTGTGAGCCACGAAGTGGGTGCTGGGAATTGAACGTGTGTCCTCTGGAAAAGCAGTCAGTGCTCTTAACTGCTGAGCCACCTCCCTGTCTCAAAGATTCTTTTAGCTTAAGATTTCCAAAATGCACTCCTTCCACAGAAACATTTTGAATGTTATATATATCTCAGTGTTATCAGTATGAGTCCGCTATATGTGATTTCACTGAAGAAATGATTTTGAATATAATGAAGTAGAAGAGAAATGCTATAAAGTGAGGAGGGTCCATGGAGTGAAGAATGAAAAAAATAAAAGAGACCAAGGGGAACAACCAAAAATGTCATACCTGACTTTCCTAAGACAAATATGAACACACATAGGGCAACTTTCAGTGCTTACATCTGGAAAGTTCTACAGCTTTACTAAAAGATGGAAAGGTGCTAGCTGGAGATTTAACTTGGTGCTTACTTGTTCTGGCTGGCTGCCGTTTCCTGGGCCTTCTTCACAGCTGCTTCTAACTTTGTAATTCTGTCCTTATAAAAGGCAATAAGAAGATCTGTTTGTTTCTTCTGGAAGCACCACACCTACTAGGAAAAAAAGAGGTCTTTGGCATACACTTCTATTAACTCCTTCATATTACTTTTGACTATAAAAGAAGTCCACTAAATCATAGTTTAGAACTGTTCTTCTCTTAGACCCTTTAGTATAACTTGTAACTCCCTAAAATATAGAATTCAACACTAGGGAGAGCCAAAGCTTTCCATTTTAGGACATTGGCTTTTCTTACTTTAGTGAGAATATTCTGGCACTATAGAATATTATATACATATATATTCATTCATTCTACATGTATATATGTGTATGTATGTATGTATGTGTGTATATGTATATATGTACATATACACACATACATACATACACACATATACATATACATTCATTCATCCTGAGAGAAAAAAAACAAAAAACAAGAGAACTTTCAAGCTCCTAATTGGTTCTAACTTACCTACTGATTTAATTTAGTTTCCACATGTTTAGCTACTATAATGTATTTTCTGTAATACTTAGACTGTGCCATTTGAAGGTTGTTTGTGCTGTTTCAATAAAAAGTGAAGATGTGACCAGGTGTGATGACACACACTTATCATCCCAGTATCCAGGAGGTAGAGACAGAAGGATGAAAAGTCTGAGGCTAGCCTTGGCTGGCCACAATGTGAATTTGAAGCTGGTATGGGTTAGGAGATCCTGTCTCAAGGAGGAAGGGCATAAAAGAATATTTCTGATTTATTTCTGGATATAGGCATATAACTTTATCTTTTGTGTTATTTTACCATTTGCCACACTAATGTGCCTACCACAGGATTGTTGAATCAGAGTTAATATTTACAAAGTGTTTTTGCTGTGTCAGGCTCTATTTTGAATACACAGCAGAATTTATGTCTCATCTGCTTTCTCACTGATTTGACTATAAATCCTTTATCGAGGGCCCTTCCCTGGGTATGTGTATTCTTCTTGTGAATTTTTTCCTCATCTGATTTGTTTATAAAAGTAAATTTTTAGAAAATTTGAACAGAGCAGAAGCAGAAACAAAAATTATTTAGAATCTTAGGAATTATCTGAAATGGTGGGAGGAGGTGTTTAGAAGTAATAGTTACTATAAATAGATAACTATGTATAAGACACAGTATTCCCAACATTCTAGTTTTAGCTGTGGGATCAACATGGAGTGAAATGAGTTATTATAAGGCATTTAAAATCTTAGCTGATTCTGATAGTTCATGCCTACAATCTTAGGCCTTATGAGGCTGAGGTAGGAGGCTTTAAGCCTTAGGCCAGCCTGAGCTATATTAGTTAGTGGACAACAAAGCAAGATCCTATGATAAAAAAGGCAGGTAGGCCAGACTGGTGAGATGGCTTCAATGGGTGCTGTCAACCTTGATGTCTTGAGTTCAAACTAGGGACCCACATCTTAGACAGAAAAAAACAGACTCCTGCAAGTAGTCATCGGACTTCTACACATGTAGTGTGGCATGTGCACCTAAGTGTATACACACACACACTCATAAATCCCCCCTCCCCCTGTTACTGTTCTATTGCTGTGAAAAGACACTATGACCAAGGTAACTCTAATAAAAGAAAGTATTAATTGGGGCTTTTTTGTAGTTTCAGAGGGTTAGTACGTGACCATCATGGAGGGAGCATAGCATCACACAGGCAGGCATGGTGCTGAAGAAGTAGCTGAGAGCTTTACATCTGGATCTATGGGGGGGGGACTACAAAAATATTAACACACTGAGCCTGGCTTTAAGGTTTCAAAAGCTGGCACTGACACACCTCCTCCAACAAGAACACATACTCCATCCAGCAGTCAACACTTCTTTAACCTAACTCCTGAGTCTTCATTTGGTAAAATGCAATGTTTGGTATTTTGTTTTAAAAACAACAGGTATGGAAAGGCTGTGGCTCTGAGAGGTGAGGTAGGTGGTTATTGGTCATTGAGGGAGGTTGGTTGCAGTTTGTTAGTAGTCATGCTCAAAGAAGAAACAAAAGAAATTGGATTCAGGGCTCTCTCCCCTCTCCCCTCTCTACTTTCTCTATCTAGTAAAAGTGGTGAACCAGGGATAAAGGGTGAGCAACAGAAGAACCCACACCACAGCAAACACCAGCTACACTACACTTTTCTGGGATTTCAGTTACCCAGGGTGCAGTGTGGTTTAAAGTATTTTCAAATCAATCCTTGTAGTGCTTGTGTTTGAGTAACCCTTACTGTACTTAAAGTGATGCTGGCAATTTGGAAACACCAACAAGAAGCCATGAAGTACTTCCTTTTAAGTGAAAAGGTACAAGTTCTCAACTAAAGGGAGAAGGGAAAAAAAGTGTGAAAGTTGTTAAGATTTTGCTAAGAATAAGTATACCCATGTATCTTAGCGTTTCTACTGCTGTGATGAAACACCATGGCCAAAAGTAACCCAGTGAGGTAAGTAACTTAGTTTACATTTCCATATCACAGTTCATCATCAAAGGCAGTTAAGGCAGGAGCTGATGCAGAGGCCGAGGAGGAGGAGGAGTGCTGCTTAATGGCTTGTTTCAAATGGCTGAGTTCTTTTAACTTTAACTCAAAGCAGCACCTTAGGGGCGGCACCACTCACAGTCATCTGTGCCCTCCCACATCCATCATCAATCAAGAAAATGTACCACAGGTCAACTGGTAAGGACACTTTCTTGAAGTTCCTTCTTCCCAAAATGACTCTGGTTTGTGTCAAGCTGACATAAAACAAGCCAGCACATCATAAAACTGTGCAAAGCGAAAAAGAAGTTCTTCGGTTTTTGCACTGTGAATCTCTTATTGTGGCTAATTTACAAATTCAACTTTACTATAGGTTTATGTGTACAGATGGGAACCATAGCACATATAAATTTTAGAACTATCTGCTGTTTCATCAATCCACTGGGGATCATGGTATTCCTTGTGGCCGAAGGACTATATTGTTTATGATTCTTAAATTAGGCATTATCTCTACAAACAGGTGGATCTTTTGTTTTGTTTGTTTGTTTTTCGAGACAGGGTTTCTCTGTGTAGCCCTGGCTGTCCTGGAACTCACTCTGTAGACCAGGCTGGCCTTGAACTCAGAAATCCGCCTGTCTCTGCCTCCCAAGTGCTGGGATTAAAGGCGTGCGCCACCACCGCCCGGCTAAAAAACTTATAATGTAGTTGAGGATCTGTGAATGACTTTTTTGGTTTTTTGTTTTGGTTTTTAGAGACAGGGTTTCTCTGTGTAGCCCGGGCTGTCCTGGAACTCACTCTGTAGACCAGGCTGGCCTCAAACTCAAAAATCCGCCTGCCTCTGCCTCCCAAGTGCTGGGATTAAAGACGTGCGCCACCGCTGCCCGGTGTAAACAGGTGGATCTTGATAAACTGAGCAGAGTTGGCACTAGAGGCAGAAAAGGGCTGAAGAAGACAGCAGCAAAAAAAGCGCAGATTAATCATTTTTAAATCAATTTTTAAAATAGTTTCAAAATTATTTTACGTAGCCCAGCTGATCTCAAACTCATGATCTAGTTCTTCACCTTTCCAAGTCCTGAAGTCATAAGCATATGCTACCATGCCATCTTCATATCAGTAATTTCAAAGTAAATTTCTTATAAAAAACAGAAAGGATCTCCTTATCATTATGAATAAAACTGGCATGTTTATAGTTGGCTTTTCTCCCTCCACCCTGCTTAGGCAATCATATAAACAACTTAGTTTGCATGGAACTTCAGCATGAACGGGTCTATTTGGTTTGGTCTGTTGGGCCTAATGTGGTGGCTCAGTCTAATCCAATAGTCTCCTATAAATTTTATCTATAAATTTTATTTAACACACAGAACATACTTCTTTTTGTTTTGAATCTAGGTCTTACTACATATCCCTGTCTATCCTGGAACTTGCTATAGACTTGGCTAGCCTTTAACCCACAGAGATCTACCTGTCTCTGTCTCTCCAGAGCTGGTTTTAAAGGTATAAAGGCACTGCAATGCTCAACTAGAACATAATTTTTATTTATTGAGGAAAGCATTGTAAAACTTCATTTCTGAGTTAGGTCTATCAAAAGGCTGGAAAGAGTAAAGGAAAGACACCTGGCCAGTTTATGGCCACAGCAACAAGGTACCCGCAATTATCTACGAGAAGGAAAGGTTTTTGGGCTTATTGTTCCTGAGGTTATAGTCTATGCTAACCAATTGTATTAGGTACTTTTCTGTTGCTGTGATAAAATGCTACGGTAACAGGAACAAACAGAAGAACTTGATCTATGGTACAGTTACAGAGGGTTGAAGTCCACGATGGTAGAGCAGGAAGCCAAGGGCTTACACACAGAAGCACAGCATAAAGTTGAGTGAACTGGGAGCAAAAGTCTCTGACTCCTTAGAGCCCACCCCTAGTGATGGACTTCCTCCAGCAAGGTTACATTTTCTAGACCTTCCCAAACATCACCATCGGCTGGGAACCAAGTGTTCAAAAATCTGGGCGGGGGGATTCTCATTCAAAGTACCACACCAAGTAACCTTGGTTTTGAATCTGTAGCAAGCACAGTGGTAAGCCCTCAACTTTAAATGGCTGGGAAGAGACCAGGATCTCCATGTTCCCTTCAAGGACATGTCAATTATTTAACTTTCTTATACTAGCCTCGCTTAGAACAAAACAACACAAAAAACCAGGGTCTTGAACTTTATGTAGCTGACGATGCCCTTGAACTCCTGATCCTCCTAGCTTCACTTCTTGAGACCTAGAATATAGGCATGTATCACAGTGCTTAGTTTTAGGGGGTGCTAGGGAGTGAATCTAGGGCTTCATGCATGCTAGGCAAACACTATCAACTAAGCTATATTACCATCCCAAACTTTACCTCCTATAGGTTCCACATACTCTAATAGTGCCATAGACAGGTGGCCAAGTGTTTAACATATGAACCTTTGGGAGACAACAGTTTCCAAATCATAGCAGAGGCACAGTTATGGAAGCAAAGCTCAGCAGATTCACTATGTATTTTTGCTGTTTGTTTTTTGCTTCGGTGTTGTTTATTGATTTTTTTTACACTAATTT